CTAAAGTCCAAGTATACAAAAGGATAGGCCTGATTTAGTGAGGCTGCCCATTTCTCTCAACAGTTTCAAGCCCAACTTATTCCCCAACTAGTTTTCTTCCTTCCACTTTTATTTTCTTCAACTCCAAACCTTTAAATAAGGTGTTTTGAAATTTTTTTCAAAGAGTTCACCTCTCTTTCATTTATTTCCACTTTGTCTTTGCTCGGTTTACCGAAAAGTGCAACATTTAACGAAATGCGAGCTTCGGAACATCATAGAAACTTTTCAAAAATATTTTGAAAGAGAGGGTTTTAAGGTCTAAAATAATTTTGGTCAAAATAGTTTTGGTCTAAAATGGGGTGTAAGGTTAGGATTTGAAGCTCCTTTTGCCGAAGAAATCGAACCTTTGCACAACATAGCTTTCATCCTCGAGCAATCAACCTGAGGCCCCCAAGTCTTAAGGACGGTAAAAAATGGGGTGTCTGTAGTCCCTCTCCCATTTTTAGTAATGAGAGAGATCCACAATATTATTTTATGATGTCTAAGGTCCCTCAACCCCATACTCATATATGACAGAGAAATTTGAGTCTCTCAAGTCAAATCTCATTTCTCTCTCGCACACAGACACTTTAAGCACTTTCTCTCTCTCTCTCTTGATGATCTTCGATTTTGGGTTGAGTGAGAAACGAACTTGCAAAGCTCTCAGAGACATTAGAACAACAAAATAGAGATAAACCCAGTGTGTGATTAAGAACTAGAGTGATCAATATATGAAATTTGATCGTAAATAGACATAGTTTGAGGCAAGAGAAGCATGTTGAAAGAAGAACTAGAGAAGTCACCGACATGAGAAGGAGAAGGAGGAGTAAAGCTTCGATTGGGTATGTCTCTCATGGAGGACTGAGATAATTTCTTGTACTGAAACGGAGGGATGAGATTGTCAGTGACTAAGTGAGGAGGTGAAGATAGGTAAACAAAGTTAGTTCTGGCCTTGACTCCATACATCGCTCGAGCTGCGCAATCGTAAGCACACGCCGCCTCCTCCGTTGTGTCAAAGGTACTAGATTTAGTCGAGCACAATTTGTTGTTATTGTGATTGTGTCAATTGGTACCTGATATAGTGATCTAGTTGATGCAAACAGTAACTGTCAAAAAAGACATATTTTAAAATCCAAGGCTGAAACATTGAGTGGCCATATGAACCGCATTATGTCTATGCTACTTGTTGCGGCATTTATTCTTCAATATCTTTGCTATATTTGATGAAAGCCTTTCAGTTTATCTGAATTTGTTACCCTTTTGTTGCTTTACTGCAGTATGTGGGCATGCTTATTCCTTGTCTCAAAATTTGGATCCTAATAGTGAGGAAGAGGTGTTTTACAGTTCAAGACTGGTTTGATGTCTGTTATAAAGGTAACTCTTAACTTGCTGAGATGATTGAATATGTCTTGTGTTCTTAATATTTGCATCACGTGACAAAAAGCGAGAGCAACATACTGGCATGTGCATTTCTATGTATGTCTTACAAGATATGTGATCTATAACACTCTTATAAACATCAACAATTGGTGCCTGAGTCATTTGTTTACAAAGGTGTTGGTGCAAATATGTGAATTTCAGTTTGGAGACTTCAGATTTTTCTCATTTTTGGTATGTGTACGGGGAGCAAATATTCCGGCAAGCCCGTATTCCTTTCTTCCAAGCTCCGTCGATATCCGATCACCTGCGAGCCAATAAGGGTGAGCTACCCGGCGGTGTGTGGCCAGAAAAACCCTCTGACGATCAAGTTAGCACACACCTTAGGATAGATAGAGGGAAGGGAGAGAGTGTTTTAGTGTAAGAAATCCTTACAGAGATGTTCGTGTATTGCGTATGGGGGGCGCAGACATGCTTATATACCTTCTGAGCCCCATATCCACTCCCAGTCATCTCCTGACACGTGGCTTTGCTATCCCATCTGTCAGCATAAACCTTGCCGACCATCACCTAATCTCAACTGCCTGACTTCACAGCTGGAGCTCGGCAGCCGAGCTGCTCTACCATGGCCATACTATGCTTCATACCGAAGCGCCTAACCGGATAAACACATGGAGGACCGAGCTTGGCGGCATCCCGGCAGAGCCTAGCCCGGGTACCTCCTTTGGTCGGCCTTCCCGCCGGCCAAACAGTCTCCTCGGTTGACCACGTCTTTCCGGGCGCCGGTCACTCAGCTTGTCTGGCTTCGGCCATCCTTGGACCGAGAATCCCGGTCCGACCAAGCACTTCCTTACCGAGCAGCTTCTTCACGGTCTGGGCGGCACACACTCGGCCCAAATTCTACCCGGCCCAAGTTCTGGCAACCCCTATCCGGGCGGATAGTTGATCATCTCGGCCCCATGCAACGTTGGGCCCTCAACCTGCTCGTCCGTTACCTCGGCCCAACTCCAGATCATAAATTACCCTCTCAGTATGCATTGACATTTAGCATGTGGTATGCGAGTTTTGTAATATGGCACTATTTTTTTGAATATTGCAGTTTGAACTTCAATCATTTCAGATATCTAGTGCACGTGAATTTTGTTATGTTAATATTTACTTTTATAATTAATGTAAACTACTCCTTTGGCTTTACTAGTGTGAATTGTAATTCTACTTTTCTTTGAAATATCTGTTTGTATATAACATATTTTGGATGTATTCACAACAAATCTTCTAGCAAAAGTTTGCAAAGAGAGAGGGTGAAACCATAGACAGAAGCCAAGACATTGCTCGCTTACAAGAGTTTTATAAGCATTATAGGGAGAAGCATAATGTAGACAAGTTATGGGAAGATGAAATGCAGTTGAGGGAGTCGGGTGCTTTCAGTGGCAACCATACAGAGAAAATTCTAATCCAGAGAAAATTCTCTCAACCACATTAACAAACAACATTGAACCCAGTACCAAAACAACATTCAATTTCTTTGGATCAGAATTTTCTCTGGATGTGGAATTTGTGTGAATTTTTTCTAGATTTCTGGTTTTGTATTACAATTTTGTTGTGTGCTATTGTTGTTATTGAAGGAGCTTGAATTGAGTTGCTGTGGTTGTATTGAAAATGGATTTAATGTGGGTTTTAAAGGGATTTTCTCTGGTTCGGTCAAAAATACAAAGAAAATTTTGATCCAAAGAAAATCCTCTCAACCATATTAATAAACAACATTGAACCCAGTAGCAAAACATCAGAGAAATTCTCTAGTCTTTTTAAAATTTCTCTGGATCAGAATTTTCTCTGGATGTAGAATTTGTGTGAATTTTCTCTGAATTTTTAGTTTTGTATTATTGTTTTGTTGTGTGCCATTGTTGTTATTGAAGGAGCTTGAATTGAATTGCAATGGTTGTATTGAAATGGATTTAATGTGGGTTTTAAAGGGATTTTCTTCGGTTCGGCCAAAAATACAGAGGAAATTCTGATCCAAAGAAAATTCTCTCAACCACATTAACAAACAACATTGAACCTAGTACCAAAACATCCGAGAAATTCTCTGGATCAGAACTTTCTTTGAATGTGGAAATTGTGTGAATTTTCTCTGGATTTCTAGTTTTGTATTATTGGTTTTGGATTTTTGGGTTTAATTTTTTCTGTGTCGTTCAATTTTCTTTGGTTTGATTTTGAATGACTAATAATAAAAGAGTTTAGATAACCAAGAAATCTTTCATGGTAGGTAACTAGAGAAATTCTTTGATTTTGAGATTTTGAATGACCAATAATGGTTGTGAGAAATTTGGAGAATCAGAAGCTTTTTCTGCAACCATACTTCCAAAGAAAAAAATATTAGAGAGAGAGAGAGAGAGAGAGTTTAGGTCAAGCTGAGACTTAAACTTACTTTGCGCAAAGAAATTTGGAGAGAATTTCTCTAGAGAGTGGGAAGTTTAGAGAAATTTGGAGAGAATTTTTCTGGACAGTGGGAAGTCCAGAGAAATTTGGAGGGAAATTTAGAGAAATTTAAGTTTAGAGAAATTTGGAGAGAATTTCTCTAGACAATGGGGAAGTCTAGAGAAATTAATTTCTCTAGAGATTGAAATTTCTCTGGATCGATGTGTGAAGGACCTTAGACATTATGAAAATATTTGATATCCTTTATGCTATAAAATCTTAATATCAGGGACTTTAAAAAAAAATCCCCAAAATGAAAATGATAGGGAGTGAGGTAAAAGAAAAGGAAAGGAAAATGAAATATATTTTCTTGTATAAATTCAATTAGGATAAAATTTTTACAAGAAAATAGGAATTTTAATTATAATTAACTATTTTTATAACATATTTTAATTTTTTTTTTATTTTTTTTAATGTTTTTTTGTAAGAAATTATAAGCTTAGTAACTATGTTATTATGAGTTGTATAAGAAAATCAATTTTCTTATTACTTCCACTATTTTCATGCTAAACAAATTCAAAAAATATTCATCTTGTTTTCAATTTTCTGGATTTACTTTTTAGAAAATTGAAATTTTTTATTTTTCATATATTTTTATTTTCACTAATTTTTTTTAATATTTTAAATAATTTTTTTAATTTTTAAATACACATAACATAAATACATTTAAAAATTAAAAAAATTCACTAAATAACAAAAATACAAAAAAAAAAACTATATTTTTATATTCTATTAATTGATTTTTAATTTTTTTAAAAAAAATACATCTAAGTAATATTCATCTAAAAAAATAAAAAAATTTATTTAAAATTTTAAAAATATTTACCAAAATTAAAAAAATAAAAAATATTTAAAATTCAATTTCTAAAATTAAAACAAAACAAGATAATTATTTTTTTTAAAATTTTTTATTTCTTTCACTTTTACCATTTTACTGAATCCTCAAAATTTTTCCTTTTTTTCCTTATAAATGAGGTGAAAAAAGCTTATTTGATAACAGTCGTCGATGACTTGGTACCGGCAACGGCTTGATCGGCGGTTAATGAGCAAGCGGTTTGAGAAACACCGTTATGTTAGTTCACATATAACAGTCCAAATCTTGGTGCGTGGTGTGGTGGTGTATATTCAGCCGTTTGATTACTTGATTTATGACGTGTCGCTCTCTGCTCAAACCTCCATACGATTTCCAGACCGAAATTCTTGACAGAGGATCCAAGCTGCTGATGTTGGACTCGACTACAAATCCAAAACCCTAGTCCTTGGTTTTGTTTGTTTCAGAAATGGCTTCTTCTCTCTCTATCTCAACGTTCTCTTCTTCTCTCTCACCTGATCTCAAAGATCATGTAAGCCCCTCTCTCTCTCTCACATCTATTTTCCCAACACTCATCTGCTGTTTGGTTTCTGAGAAAAAAACAGAGAAAAAGAAAGAAAGTAGTTTTGAGTTTTCTTTTTTAAACTTGATTGTTAAAACAAAGAAATTAAGTTAAATTTGCACTCTCAGTTGGGGCTTGCATCTGATTCTGAATTGTGTCCCCTTTTTAGGGATTTATCGGCCCTAGTTTTCCGAGTTTGGCGTGCAAAAGCGTGGTGATTGTTAAGGGAAGTCCTTTGTTGAATGTAAAAAGGTGTGAATTTGAGTTGAAGCTACAAATCCAAAACCCTAGTTCTTGTTTCTGTTTGTTTCAGAAATGGCTTCTTCACTCTCTATCTCAACGTTCTCTTCTTCTCTCTCACCTGATGTCAAAGATCATGTAAGCCCCTCTCTCTCTCTCACATCTATTTTCCCAACACTCGTCTGCTGTTTGGTTTCTGAGAAAAAAACAGAGAAAAAGAAAGAAAGTAGTTTTGAGTTTTCTTTTTTAAACTTGATTGTTAAAACAAAGAAATTAAGTTAAATTTGCACTCTCAGTTGGGGCTTGCATCTGATTCTGAATTGTGTCCCCTTTTTAGGGATTTATCGGCCCTAGTTTTCCGAGTTTGGCGTGCAAAAGCGTGGTGATTGTTAAGGGAAGTCCTTTGTTGAATGTAAAAAGGTGTGAATTTGAGTTGAAGTGTTTGAGGGACAAAGAGATGGATGTAAGCGCATCGGCTTTGGTCGATGTTGTTGCTGAATGCTTCGATGGTTTGTGTTGTTAATTTTTGAATGAGATAATGTTGTAACTTGGATTGTATTTATATAATTTGAAGTGTGTTGATTGGTTAAATGATTATAACAGAAATGGAGGTTAAGGAGAAAGAGCCAAGTATTTCGACAATTTTGTTGAATCATGAGAATAAGTTTGATCCTTATGATGCATTGAGTACACCTTTATATCAAACAGCGACGTTTAAGCAGGTAATTTCATAGCCAATTTCACATGCTCATGCTCTACATTATGATAACTGCGAATTTGAGATATATACATTTTTTAACTATACTCGGATCGGATACAAAAAATTTGAAAAGAAGCTAGTTTTTAGGATGCAGAGTTAGTGTATATATCGTATAAATGTAAAGGGGAAGTTAAACCTAACAAGAAGAAAAGTTAACTTTTTTAGCTTGCTGGATTGATGAGAGAGGTTAATTTTCACTTTGTGGGCATGATATGCAAACGTCTCCTTTCTTTTATTTCTCTTGCTCTCTCCATATATTGGAAAGATTGTGCATGTGCTAGCTTCTATGCATATAATGAAATTTCGTAGGCTTTTTAGTTTTTCTGTCACTACTATTACAATTGTTGTTGTTTTCATTGTTGTCCTTTCTACCATTATTGTTATTGCTATTATTGGCACGATTGGGGAATGACTATACACAGCCTTGTTCACTGCATTTGACCGCCTCTATTCCATGTGCGAGGATGTGGATGCTGCTAAAAAGGCTTTGAGGACTTACCCTTTAATATTATTAGTATTGTTATAACCATGATTATTACTTTAATTTTACATGGTACTTTTGTTGGCCGTCACAGAAATGCACGTAGATATTTAGCTAGGCACCTTGTTCACATAACATCCCAATTTTATAGTTCTGCTTACCTTTGGTTTATTTTACCCTGCTTTACAGGCTTCAGCAATAGAAAATGGCCCTTATGATTATACTAGAAGTGGAAATCCTACGCGAGATGCGTTGGAAAGGTCTGATTTGCCTGTTTCTATGGATTACACAAATGGTGTAGCTTTATAAGTGATATTGTTATATACTTTCATCTGTAAGTATTATTCTCTTTTCTGTTCTCAGCCTCTTGGCAAAGCTTGATAAAGCAGACCGAGCATTTTGCTTCACCAGTGGAATGGCTGCTTTGGCTGCTGTCGCTCATCTTGTTGGAACTGGTGCTTTTTCACTCCTTTTCCTCTTTATTATTCGCACATACATGCAGACCATAAATTGTTTCATATTATTTGGAATTCAGCTATTAGGGTTTCAAGAATGAACAGATGGGTGCATACACCAATTCCCCATTGGGGTATTTTGTAGCAATCCTGGGCTGGGTATGTCTATTGGTGTATTAATTTCAATCTTATAAGCTGTAAAAGAGGTTAAGAGTCCTTGCTAATTGAATGTTTCATTCTTGTTTAGAACTTTTCAAAAATAATTGTCTCATTTTTATTCTTGTTCTTCATCTTGCATCATGTCATACATAAGTCGGATATTTTTATTTTCCTTAAATGTAAGAAACTTTTTTGCATTTGTTTACATTAATCGGTAGCTGCATAATAACAGGAGAGGAAATTGTTGCTGGAGATGACATATATGGTGGCTCTGATCGATTACTGTCACAAGTAATTCCGAAGACAGGAATTGTGGTCAAGTTAGTATTGTTGTCTTCTTTTTTACCCAGAGAGATAGTGCAAGTAGAGTGTCTTCTTTTATTATAATTAACCGCGAGTAGGATCTTGTATAATTATGTTGATTGCTTGCAGACGTGTGAATACAACTGATTTAGATGAAGTAGCATCTGCAATTGGTTCTTGGACGAAGCTTGTATGGCTGGAGAGTCCAACCAACCCACGGCAACAAATTTCTGATATACGTGTAAGGAATGTTGATTTAAAGTTACAGAATCATGATCATGTGCAACTGTCTTTTGTTTGGTTGCTGCCCGAATAAATGGAAGTAGCATGTTGACTATGAAATATGTTTCGTACAGGAGGTTTGCGGGGTAGGGATCTAGAAAACCCTCAGTACCTTCATAACGTAGTTGTATTGATAGGTATCTACATGCATGTGTGACAGTTGACATAGCAAAATTTTGAGATTAAAAGTAGGTCTTTTTATTTGAGCTTAATGAATATTATGTTTTAAAATTCACAGAAGTGGTAGAATAAGTTAAGATGGTTTGGTCATGTACAACAAAGACTTACAGATGCAATGGTAAGGAAGAGCAATAGAATCACCATAAATGGAGATGCTAAGAGGAGGGGACTTAAGCTGACATTTGATGCCATAGTGAAAAAAGATATGAATTTATTTAATCTAACTGAGCATGATGAATTTAATCTAGAAGGATCCATGCTGTTGACCCTACTTGATTAGGACACAAGGCTTAGCCCTTAATAGAGCTGAATGGTATAAAAGGATCCACCATGTAGCCAACCCCACTTGATTGGGACATAAGGCTTTGTTTGGTTTAGTTCTCTCTCTCTCTCTCTCTCTCTCTCTCTCGCGTGCACGCGAGTACAAGCATGCAATTTTTGATGATTTCATATACGAGTTAGTACTTTTGTCTTGTGGGCACACTATGGCCGTGATAAGAACGTGCTACATTATAATTTCAGTATACTTTTCCATGTTGACTTCAATTCAGAAAATAGCTGAGATGGCTCATGCTCATGGTGCAATTGTGTTGGTGGATAACAGCATCATGTCCCCTGTATTGTCTCAACCCTTGGAGCTTGGTGCAGGTACCAAAATTATATGCTAAGGATGTAAGCTACAAATCACTCCTCAAAGTGTTGTTAATACTGATTATTTAATCTGTTTTTGCAGATATTGTGATGCACTCAGCTACTAAATTTATAGCTGGACATAGTGATGTCATGGCAGGGGTGCTTGCTGTAAAAGGGGAAAGGTTGTACCTCTTACTCCTTACCAAGGTTTTAAAAAGCGGTGTTACGTAACGGTTGCGGTGGTAGGCACTACTTGTTACATCCGCTTTGCGGTGTGATGGAAATTCACACATGTAATGGTCGTTGCGGTATTATGTAACGGCCGTAATGGTACTGTAATGCTCGTAACATGCCGTTACACACCATTACACATTCTGCACAGATTCTTTTCTTAAAAAAAATAAAAATAAAAAGCTACAACAATCAAAAGTTTACACGGTATTATAAGTCATGAACTATATGTTATATAACTGTTAATAACAAAATAAATAAAAATAAGAGGTGCAATATGGATTTATGACGTATAAAGTCATTAACTATTGAAATAAAATGTAACGATTTATAGTGATTTAAAATTATGACATATATTGGGTCATACTTAAAAACTAACAAAAATTGATCAAAATCTATTTTAAACCCCCAATAAATGTGATTATGAAATAACAGTAAGTGTATTTTTTTTTTTGCAAATTGTGTGACCGCAATTGCTTTTCGAAACCTTGCTCTTTATATAACTACCCAGAAGGAGGCTTCTCATGGTCTTTTTTATTTTTGTTTGTTAGTTTTGTGTAGGTTATTTTTCTTGCTGGTAAAAAGCGTGGGACGGTTATGAGTGCCAAACTTTGTTAGCTGGGGTGTAACAGCATGCTTTCGTTTGTTAAATGAAGTACAACCATTTAAGAATAGATAGATGGTTCAAACTAACTCTTTATGTGTGTGGTCATGATGGGATTGTAAGGCATCACAATGTATATAATCTTTAAGCATAACAAAGGAAAAATGAAGAGGAAGAAATAAACAGAAGAAAAATCATGTGATTTTGACGTTTTCATCTTGAGTGAGGAATGATTTTATTGTTTATGATTCTCATGTGAAAAGTTTTATGCGGATATGTTTCCATATTTGGGTACAGGAATTAAATGTTTCAGCTTGTATTTTATATGTTTTTTCATGTGGCACTTCTATGGTTGGAGTTGTCGCATCTTTGTTTATCCAATTATTGTATGGTTACCATTGTCTGATCACCAACCAGCGCTGAAAAGAGTATGGCGTTGCCGTCCAACGCTAGTTTCCAAATGGAGTTTTCATTATTATTATTTTGTTCTAATGATATGGCCAATCATTGGAGTAGAAGAAAGTTTCTGCATTTGTCTTGATCTGTCTAGTGAATTATTGCTCATCCTTAATCTTCTTTTTCCTTGATTTTGATGCTATATTACTCTGACAAGATCGTCCTATACTGTAATGATATCTAGATGGTCCATCTGTTTGCCTTCATACTTTTAATTCAATTTTCAAAAGAATTCATTCGTTAGAGATACATGCATATACAAGTGCACTCTCCCATATATATATATGTGTTGGTAATATCTTGATAGGTTATGCCATTTATTAATTCAATAATTCTATAGCACTTAACATTCTCCGCGTAATGCCTTCTTTTTGTTTCTAAATGGGATCATGTCACCTATTACTGAAGAGTTTGTATTGCATATCCCTTTTCATGTGTATCAGATTGGCGAAAGACTTGTATTTCTTACAAAATGCAGAAGGCTCTGGGCTAGCTCCGTTTGATTGTTGGATTTGCTTGCGAGGTATAAAGACCATGCCCTTACGTGTTGAGAAGCAACAGGTGCTACTTCAAACCTGTCCTAGCACACAATATAAACATAATTGTTTTTGGAATGTAATCAATTTATCACTTTGCTACCTCCAAGCATCTTTTGGAACTCTTGCACTTTATTGATTATAGTGATGATATCGGTATATTAATTAACAAGGCAAATTTGGCGACTGGTTAGAATCTAGTGGTAATTGATGCTATTTGTGTTCAGCTGGTATAAAATGGAACTTGAATTCTTTGGGTTTCAACTTCATAGTTAAATGAGCAAGCATTGCTGATAATTTCAGGAGAAGCTCTAAACTGTTATTATGCATGTCTTCTCAGGTGCATTGCTGTGCCTTAAAAAAAAAAAAAAATCATCTTTTTATGTTAACTAAGAGCAAAGTGGTTTTGACAATTCTATGTTAGCCTGTCAAAACTAATTGTGTCTATCTGGTATGCATGTTTATGTGGCTATAGAAATTAGCAGTGTTCAAATTTGATATTGATGGAAATGTTGAGACTGACATCAATCTTGCTGGATTAGAGGTTCCCTTTCAACACGAGAAAACTTGAAACAAAATGAATATTCTTTTATCTTTTTGTCATCCTTTTTAATCAGGAAAAACAAGTGGTGACACTATGAAATTGTGGTAAGCAGTAACATTAACTCATCAATTCTAGTGCAAAATTCTGTGATGTGTGAAATAACAATTAATATATGTTGTTTAGACGATCACTATGCAATAAAACCAGAAGCAATAAGACTGAAAAAATGATTCTTCACAGTAGGGATGTAATATAGTTCTTATTAGATCATATATATCAAAATAAAGGTTTGAAATTTTATATTAATTGTTTAGATGATCACTATACAATAAAACCAGAAGACAATATGACTGAAAATACGATTCCTCATATTAGGGATGAAATATAGTTCTTATTAGATCACTTATTTCGAAATAAAAGATCGAAAATTTTCTATACTTCTAATAAAATTTAATGACAATTAATATATGTTGTTTAGACGATCACAATGCAATAAAACCAGAAGCAATAAGACTGAAAAAATGATTCTTCACATTAGGGATGTAACATAGTTCTTATTAGATCATATATATCAAAATAAAGGTTTGAAATTTTTATATTAATTGTTTAGATGATCACTATACAATAAAACCAGAAGACAATATGACTGAAAATACGATTCCTCATATTAGGGATGAAATATAGTTCTTATTAGATCACATATTTCGAAATAAAAGATCGAAAATTTTCTATACTTCTAATAAAATTTCTATAGTTAGCAGAAGTACTTGTGCTAATAAATGATTACACTTGGGCCAAATATTTGGCCTGAGCGTTTGTTGTGTTGTCAAATTTGTAATGCTCTCTTTATTTCTACGTCCATCTGCTATTATTTTTTTAACGGTGTTTGGAAGTCATCTTCTCTAATTTTTGTTGGTATTGGGAGCCGCAAAACACAAATAAATTTGTGGAAGTGGCTCTTGTTCATGGGCTGAATTCGGTTCAAAGATTTGCTTGAAGTTGTTCATTAGTTTTTAGATATATTGTACATGTGACTGCTATTATTTTATTATCATGCCTGTCCTTTTTAAAATGAATACTTTGGCATCTTTGGCAGGAGAATGCACAAAAGATTGCTGAGTTTCTCTCCTCCCATCCCAAAGTGACGAAAGTTAATTATGCTGGTCTTCCTGACCATCCTGGACGTGCTTTACACTATTCACAGGTACTGATATTTGATGGAACCCTAAAATTAAAATTGCCGGCCAGGTGCCTCCTCTCTTGTTCTTTTCTTTTCACTTACTCTTGTTGTTCATTTTTACAGGCAAAGGGTGCAGGATCTGTGCTCAGTTTTTTGACAGGATCACTTGCACTCTCTAAGCACGTCGTCGAGACTACCAAGTATTTCAGTATAACTGTCAGTTTTGGTAATGATTCTTACCACTTAAATCTGGACATGCTTACTAAAATCTATCTGACTAAGAAGCACGGACACTTTTAAAAATGTGACGTATCTGTGTCGGATACCGACACTCTTTGGACACTCTTAGGACACGTGTCCGACACTCTTCAAAATGTGTCTTGTTTTTAAAGACCTGGACACTCTTTGGACACTTGGAGGACACACGTGTCTATTGCTTAAATATACGTGTCTATCGATTAGACACATGTGAAACTAATTATAAGTTTGAACAAAACAACTTAAGACACAATAATAAAACAAAAACCATATAAATTTATAGGAATTAGTGTCACATTACATTTTTTATCATATATTTGAATGATATATTCATGTATATAACATATAATAAATATATAAAATTATATATTTCATGCGTGTCCCCGCGTGTTGTGTCCTGCATTTTTTGAAAATTAGCGTGTCGGCGTGTCCGTGTCGTGTCACATGTCCATGTCCATACTTCTTAACTATCTGATAAGGATTTTCAAGGTATATTTGGGGACAATGATGATCACTTCTTTCTGTATAATACAACATTACTGTGCTATAATAGAAATAGGAATGAACATACATTGCTGAGAAATGTTTTTGAATCAGATTGTCTTTTTCGTACTTTTCCAAAATGCATACTCTGTTGAGAACTGATTTAAAATGTAATGACATTAATTTCCAAAAAAATAATAATCCCGGAATAGAATAATTTTTGTTTTTAAGTAAATCCAATAATGAAATATGAAATGCATAAATATGTACGTTCCTTGACAAATTAAATACCGGGATATGCACTTCTTCAAGTTTAGGTTCGGTAGTTTGGAGCTTAGATAATATATATATATGTATTAGTTTTGATAAAACCTGAAGTCACATGCTAATAGAATTTTACAATGAATTCACAATTGTTACTAATTATGGATTTATGTTGTGTTACTACTACTTTTAGGATTCAATTCATAATTGATGAATTGCAGGTTTATAGAAACTTCTGTATTGGGGATATAATAAACTGCATCATGTTTCATGTTTTGTTTATTGACAAGTACAATTTAGTGTACACGTATGGAATGTAGAGTATCTTGTAGTCAACCTTTGATGATCATTGGGATGTAAACTGTTTAATTTGAAAGTATTGGTGATATATGTCAGTCTTAGTTTATAGAAGAACATAAGGATTGTGGGTGATGACAATTTAAGTTCCATTGGATTCCTGGAGATTGCAGGAAGTCAAATAAACTAACCAAAAAGTAGCTCTTGCTAACAAATGCCCTAGGGGATAAGAAAAAGACAAAATAGGAGAAGAACGCGAGGTACCAATATCAAGTAACTTTTCACCGATTTCACGACACATTTTGACCTTTTCACATATTTCCCAGACACTTATCACCCCAACCCTGATGTATACCAGTGCCCTCGGAGCACTGTTTAGCATTTGCCGAAGAAGTATTTGAACCAAATCCCTAGAGGAAGTTATGACATGAGACTAGTATTCTGAGTTATATACATGATCCAAAACTATAAAATTAATTGATACACGAGTAAAAGCCCAAACCAAAGTGGTGTGGAGTCATTCCATACTTGCGAGCGTCATAATTCTCTGGAAACACGGAACTCAAAGAAGGCTACACTTCTGTCTTATCAAAAAGAAAAAGAAAAAGAAAAAAATCCCCAAAGTGATTCTCTTTGGTGGAATTCCTAACAAAATCATTTATCAAATATAATAAGTCTAAAATTTCATTTCACTCAGGTAAAACAGAAAAGTTTCTGAAAAATACAGAAGGAATGCAAAGTGAAAATATAGACAACTACTAGACATGAGGATTTTACCTCTGGGTTCAATGACCTTTAATCTTGTGGTGTAATAATGTTGCATCAAACAAAAGCCAGGTAGCCAAGTTTGGAGTGTAGAGAATTTGTGCTTCTGCCTTAAGGCTATAAGAGCATATTTTGAACAAAAAAGAAAGGCATATTTGTATTGACACAAATGAGAATAACTCAATAGGGGTTTCACAGGTTCAAACCCGGCTCACCCCAACATGGACTGGTCTGACAAAGAGGTCACATGACATGTGGGATGAATGCGAAACACGTTTTATTTCTTTTTATTCTTTTGAATAAGAAGGAAAAGGGTATTCATATTTATGCAATGGGAGAATACTTAAAACGGATTAGTCCTTATGGAACATATTGCTCCTTTTATTTTATAGTTTATTTTTACTCACAGTGATTTGTCTTGTAATGACAGGAAGTGTGAAGTCCCTCATCAGCATGCCGTGCTTTATGTCCCATGCAAGCATACCTGCTGCAGTGCGGGAGGCCAGAGGTTTGACTGAGGATCTTGTTCGTATCTCCGTAGGAATTGAAGATGTTAACGATTTGATTTCTGATTTGGATGATGCACTTAGAACTGGACCTATGTAGGTGCTTTGAGGATATTCAATCAAAGAACTATTCAATATGTTGCAAACTTGAATTATTTATGCTAATGATTTTTGGTCTGGTGTGTCCAAAATAAGGTTAAATGTATGTATCTTAACAATTTGAATTCCTTTTAGGCCGAAGGCTTATGAATGCTTAGTATTGTTTCAGGAAATGAATTTTGGTGTCTGTATATAGTTATGTTCTTTTACACAGCAAAGATAATGGAGGTGCTAAACAAAATTTCATGAATGCATTTCTTAATGGTATGACGGCTCAAGATGGCAAAGCTACGTACCCTTTTTTTAAATTTTTTTTTCCCCCATCTTTTTGAAAATCAAGTCACTGATGAAGAATGCTGCGTTAGGGAGACTTGATCAAGTCACTTATCTTTACTGGCTTTAAGTGTTTCATGCAAACCAGAATCAATGAGAAAAAAATTTCTCTCTGTGCTCACTTGTTTCTTCCTCTTTCAAGGTTTTTTGAGATTCAGTTTGTTTTTAGCTTTCACTGTTAGCAAATTATAACCACTCACCATTTGAATTGATGAGCCGTAGTTTCTTATATCATTTTTTTTTTTGGTTGAGAACAGTTATAATGTAAATATATTAAAATAAAAGTAAATATCATACAAAACAAGAAAAAGAAAAACAAGGCCTCAAAAGGCCAAACAAGAAACCTACACAAGCTACAAACAATAAACTACAAAAATTGCAAAATAAATCAGTTGCGGTTTTGAAAAAACCCTCAATCTTCTTGCAGATGTAATTTGGAAAAACAAGATCTAAATCAAAATAAATGCCAAAACCGCTGACACCATCCATTGCCGTTGTCCCTGCTGCTGTTGCCCCACTCCACCGATGCCACCGTTGCTTTTTTGAACTTGGTCACCGCCGAAAGCCATGAGTTAAAAGAGGAAATACACCCACAATAGTGAGGAAAGAGGAGTGAGACAACAGTGAGGGAAGAGGAGCTCACCGGAAATGCTTTTGGATCTTGCCGGAAGGACAACGGAAAGTCGATGGAGGGGGGCCGGAAATTGCCTTGACAGAGGCTCTCTCTAGCACACTTGCTGGATTTTTATTTTTATTTTTATTTTCTTTCTATATCACCGTTTGTAGCACATATATCTTCCCTTTCAAAAAGGTCGTTAGGAGCCACAATAGAGGTAACATGACTAGACATCTTGGTTCTTGCGTTGAGAATAGATCATCTTCAATCACTATATCTGAATTTGACTTTAAGAGAGCTCACTATAGCTTCCCAATCAAATTCAGGAGCATCAAAAGAGTTCGGATATGTTAAAAGTTGAAAATTTCAACTTCACAGTGAAATTAATCCATTATCACATTAACTTGAATTCACTTTGGTAATTTAAATTTAAATCGTTCATCTTATACAACTAACTAAAAAAATTATCTATATAAAAAATTTAATCTGACATAAATTGTTATGCTGTTAATTATACCATTTTTTTTTATCTATACAACTTACATGTTTTTAAAATAGAGCATCAATGTGTTATAATATATATGTGATTTGATCACGTGATTACTTATGTCTGATCAAACTAATTTTTTAGATATATGTTCTTCTTAGCTTGTTATATAAGATGAACAGTTCAGATTATTGACAAGTATAAATTAATCCCAAAATGTGCTAACTTCACCCGTGAAGTTGAGATATTCAACTTTAGCAAATCCCAACTGGTTAAACTAGAGTCCTATATAGGCCTTTACCCTTTTCTTGCTTGGTTAAACCTTTACCCTTTTCTTGCTTAGTTAAACATTGGTTTTCCGAATTAGAGATAGGAAAATACTTGAGACCTTCACAATTTTTGATCCCTACAACCCCCAATTGATTTGTAACTGCACATTATATTTGTTTTTTCTTTTTTTTTCCCCCCTTTCTCTCTCCTCCCTCCCTCTCACAAATGTGTGTGGGGGTGTTGGGGGTCTAGAGCATTGCTCATAGAGATATGGAGGAAACCCTTTTTCATCTTTCTTAAACAGAGCTATTTTGTTGGGAATAACAAAGACACTAATGGCGAGTGGCAAATCAATAATATAGCTAACCTTTGCAGATTTACCAGAAAGATCCACCTAGTAAAACAAATAGTTGCTCTAAAAGACCCAAATCTACACTTTAGAAGTGTTTTTAGAGCTCGCCAGAAGGACGTTGGAAAGTCGTTAAAGGGCACCGAAAATCGCCTAGAGAGAGAGGCTCTCTCTAGCGCCCCTGATGGGTCTTTTTTTCTTCTTCCATAACACCTTTTTCAGCACATATATCCTCCCTGACAAAGGTAACATGACTGGTAATTCTGGTTCTTGCGTCTAGAATAGATCATCTTCAATTACTATATTTGAATTTGGCTTTAAGAGAGCTCGCTGTAGCTTCCTAATCAAATTCAAAAGCAACAGAAACAGTATCCTTGATGAGTGTCACTTTAAGAGGATCTATGTAAGAAAACATATCAAAGAGGGACATGCACTTCGCCTTTCTCTTTGTCAAACTAGAGTTCTGTATAGATCTTTACCTTTTTCTTGCTTGGTTAAACATTGGTTTTTCGAATTAGAGATATGGAGAAAACCTTTCTTTCATCATTCTTGAACAACCTAACATAACTTATTTGTCGAAAAAACAAGACACCAACGGCCAGTGTATCACTAGACCACTTAGCAAATCAATAATATAGCCAGCCCTTGCAGATTCACCAGAAAGACCCACCTGGCAAATCAAATAGTTACTCTAAAAGATGGATGGATTTTCTGAAGCCCTTCCTACATTGAATCGTTGTGCTTTGTTTCACCAGAGAATCATCAGAGGATTTTCAGAAATTGCAGAATCAATCGCCGCTACCTAGGTACTTGAGAGGGTTTTTTGGTTGTGCCATACTACCGTTGTTTTTCATTGGCCGCTCAAATTTCAATCTCTAAGGCTGGTTGAAACAAAGTATAGGCCAGTTGGTGGATAAAACTTCAATTATCATTCAGGGATAAAAAAAGTCATGGCCCAATATGCTATGCTGTAATTCATGGACGTCCACTGTGGAGGATCCTACTTCCCCAATGTGTCACCCAAATAGAGAACCATACTGACCACAAAGATATGAAGTGCAACATCTTTGAATCTGTGAAAAGAAAGAAAAATTAAGTAGAAATGAAATTACACATTCATTTTTTCGGTTAACTAAAAAAAAACTATATATATATATATATTGATAAATACTTTGTTTTTCATGCCCAATAAAAAGGGAAATCAATCTAACTCCTTTTACTTCATTTTATTTCCCTGTCCAAGGTTCCTTTCCTTTCACAAATCAAACATTCAAACATAGCCTAAAAGTTTGGAAGAAATATATGGTTTTCAAACTCAGATCAACTTTCACTGACAATCACTAGTCCTCAGGAAAAAAAGGTCACAATTAACTAAAAATAATAATGAAGGCCAAGTTGCCCAAATACAAAGTACTTGCTTTAACAATGGGCCTCAAACAAATTCCTTAAGAAAGTAAAACCCCAAGCTTTTCGTCGACCTCACTCCCACAAAATATATGGGGTAAAAGTTTAGTACACCCTTTATTCGGCATAAATTCCAAAACACAAAGAGCACTATTGGCACTAGAGCCGAAAGTAGACATACCCAAACCAACTCATGTAGATCATCGATGCGAATGCCAAAGGTGGAAAGTGTAGCGTCAGTATACTGAAATTTTTTCAGGAGAGTGGTAACACCATCACATAACATGGGCATAAAAAATGAAAATCAAGCGCACCACAAGGTATTAGTAAGCAACTCAAATCAGTACTTGTGATCTATTAACAGATCACGAACTCCTCTCATACTGCCAGTGGGCAACAATTGTGTGCACAATGGACTTGAAAAAATAATATCAATGATCAGATGGCAATGGAATACACTTCTTGAATACAAGATCTGATTTTTTTTTTTAAATTATTGAAAATTACAACTAGTTTAATAAGGAAAACACAATTACAATACTCCACCATATCTATCAAGATCATATTCACCACCATAATAACGGAGTACCATTGTCATAATTCTATGACAAGCCTAAGGAGTAAGATCAGAACCATATGGTTGCAAACAAATGTTTTTTTTTCCCCAACTCCTTTTCCTAGAAGCACACGCAATGTCACCCACCATTATCAAATTACACCTAAGCACACACCAATCAATACCTTCAAAGAAGTTCAAAATTCTCCATTTCTAGGAAGCTATTTACAAAACTTCTATCCATGGTGACCTGCAGCAAGGAAAGCACAAAATAAAGGATGTCAGCCAGTTATTGAATTAAAACAACATAAATAAGGGAATCACATGATCACTTTAATATGGACCAATGTTTTCCAATGATCATCACAGTTCAAACCCTGGACAGAATCAGGTCAGAAATTGTTTCCCCCCAAAATTATTCCCAATAAACTATATTTCCCATTATCTATCTTTTTTCTTTTTTCTTTTTTTATTTTTTATTTTTTTTATATATATATATATTTATGCCTGTGTAAGCATGAATCTTCTAAACTAGGTATGTACAACCTTGAAAGTTAATCCAATGAAATGACCATACTTTCAAAAAGATATTTTCTCCCAGATATCATAAAATTTGAGTTGAGGCAAATGTTGGCAATGCAATAACCACAAATGGTAGTTCTTGAAAATAAGTGCCCTCTTTGTGATTTGATAGACAATTAACAATGCCAAAACCACAAATATCAGTCACCCTCTTTGTGATTTGATAGACAATTAACAATGCCAAAACCCTCACCTTGGTGTTCTTCCCTGCCATGAGGATCCAAGAAGTGGTCTGTATCTGCTGCTAGGAAGGGTGACCTGGAATAGCTCTCCAATATATCTGCATGGAAGGTGAAAAAAAGCATGAAAAAAATAATACCAAGAACATTTCTGAGGTTCATTAATTCATTGACTCAAGTCAGTTGCAATAAAACCAATAACCTGTCGGCAGAATGGTATCAAGTTGGCCTAAAGATAATTAAGTTCATAAAACGACGAGTTCAAGTAGTGGAAAAGGATTCAAAGGATTAGAGATTCTTCCCCGAAGAAGAAGAATAGGGCAAATGTGTATAAAAGTGCAGTGTAATGAATCAACTCCTACATCTACTCAATCTATTATACAGAACTTGGCCTGAACAATCTCTCATTAAATCATGAGAGAGAGAGAGAGAGAGCAAACCAGCGTCAGCTGTCAAATCTGAAAGACTGAAGTTTCGCGGTATTTGCCCTAAAAATCCAAATGACGGAGTGTCGGCATCCAAGAGTGTTTCATTCAGCGGATGTGAATTAGACTCTACACTGCTGAAAGAAGACATTGATGCATCTGCAATTGCAGGCCGTGCTTCTAGGACGTTTCCATCAGTACCAAACATGTATGGGGAATTTCCTGCATAACCAGCTTCTGATTTGATCATTCCTCCATTCATTCCTTGCATCATTCCCACATTTGAGCTATGAGCCAACATCATGTTAGGTGAAACATCAACCCTGGGATGAGCAGACATATCAACAGCATTTTGCATGCATGGGTGTAGTGATGACCCACCATTAGGAAATGATGTGTTAGGTAAACTGGAAATAATAGGCTGGTGCACGTTCTCTGCCTTCAAGACAGATCCATTATGTTCTGGAGCATAACATCCTGAATTCTGGTGCACTGCCAGAGGTTGACGCCAAATAATACACTTAGAGTAGAACTTGAAATTGCAAATTTAGAAATTTAAAGCAGATTTTTAACGAAATACAGTAAGTACACTAACAAAACCACTCCACTCCTGTATTTCAAGAAAAACTTCAGAGTTGCATTGTTTAGTGGTCTGGCAAGATCTGAATAATGCAAAATTGCATACAATACAAAAATGTGTGTGTATACTTAATAAAATACCAATTTAAGCTCAAAATATAAAAAAAATTAAATTCTGATCATGCATCATAAATCAACAAACTCACTTTCTAATTCAAGACATGCGTTGAAATGCTTACAGATAGTGCCTGTGAAACTGATAAATGCAAAAATGTTTCTGTTAGGAGACTGATTACACAGAAATTTTAAATTAATTCCTGTAACAAACTGGACAAACTTTTAAATTAATTGGTAGTGTAGCATAATGCAAAATAGAAAAAAGTTTGTCCAGTATGAAAAATTAGCTGTAAATTAATTCCTGCAACGCAGAAGTTTGTCGACTATGTTACACTACCAATTTATTCAGATATACAAATTTGATTATACACCAAGCCCAGATACAAGATAAAAACAAACTCAAAAATATTTCCAGCTAATGAAAAGAACAGCTGGGTAGGTCAGGGACAACAAAGTAGAGAGTAAAAAAGCCTTCTTACATGGTGGGATATGAGACCCATTAGACAGAGGTAAGGAAGCAACTCCAGTTGGGCATATTTGACGCATCAGCTCAACTTGTCTCTCAAGCAAACTGTTAAATTGCATTATCTGATCCTTCACTATCAACCTTAGATGATATGCCTTGAAAAATTCCTGATTTTCTTCTTCAAGCTTTTGCCAAACTGGAGACAAGCAAGAAGTTATATTCTTGAACAGAATAAGCATGACACAACTTGTTGATACATGCTGGAAGAAATGCCAAAATCTTTGTAAATGTGCTTTCTGGATCAGAAGTACATGTACTAGAAATTCATCTGTATCTGTAAAAAATATATATATTATTGATATTGATTGATTGATGTAATTACAAGATTGATTTGATTACAATTCCTATACAATCTATATATAGAAGAAAATGTGGTAGTAGGTGTAGTGGAGGTGATAGTGGGTTAGGTGAAGTGGAGTGTGTGGTGAAGTGGAGGTAGGTGAAGTGGAGTGATACATGCTGGAAGAAATGTCAAAATCTTTGTAAATGTGCTTTCTGGATCAGAAGTACATGTACTAGAAATTCATCTGTATCTATATTAATAAAGATTATGAAATAGCTCTGTCAATATCATAATGACCATGTCGAATGGGTTGGTGGATGACACGTGGAGCAATAACATTAAGTCATCAAACTACGAGAAGCAGGCAATGAAAATTAGGCAAGCTGTTTTCCTATTACACATGAAAATCTCAGACATTAATCTTCTGATTGTGGAATAATCTTAGGCCCTGTTTGGTTAAGCAAAGAATCATAGAAAGGAAGGAAGGAAAATATATGCAATTTTTGAGGAATTTGAATAGAAAGAAAGAAAATTTTTCTGGAAAAATAGGAACCATGAACCAATTATTTCCAGAAAACATGATCTATTGTTTCATGCAAAAAGAAAAACAGAAAATTAATTTCCCCAGGAAAGTTGATCTCTACTATTTAGAGTCCCACTTCATCCATTCCACCTAAATTTAACATTTTTTCTTGTGACCATATGGATAAGGTTAATTTAGATAAATTACCAAAAAAAAAAAAAAAAAAAAAAAAAACCCTCCTTTAACTTTCATGCTATTCAAATAACAATATCTAATTTTGTTGCAACATACTGGACAAACTTTCAACCCAACAAAATACATGTTAAAAAATAATTCTCTTTCTATTTTCCTTTCATTCACTTTCCTTTGTAGTACTTTCACCCTTAAAAAAATTGTTTCATCCGCGTTGGTTATATAATTTCCGAGATGAGCTTTAGGTATTATCCTTGAAAGGTAGTGCTAGCCCATCTGGTGTTACCAGAAAACGCTAATGCCCTAGCAAATTATGTTTTGGAACATACGTTCCAAAATATGATACACTTTCATTCCAAAACAGTAAATTTAGCAATCTACCGTGATCCCAAAAGGTTTTTTTTTTTTTTTTTTTCTCAATATATTTCCTAAAGTTTTCCTTGGAGAGAAAAGAAAAATCAAATATAATAAACCAAAATCTAAGGTGAGTGAAGTTTTGACAGGACAAAATGCCAAAAATGGTTCATAATACTTCATAGAACTGTGATGTTGCACGGTTAATTTAGAGAAAAGTCAAAAGAAAATTACTCTAAAACTATCTTAAATTCTTAGTATAATCTATTCAAGTCTACTCCTACAATACTATATTTTAGAGCATGTAGCGTTCCATATTCCCATTCACATTCCCGTTTCAATTCCACGTATCGGGATGATCCATGTGTGAGAAATATATTGTGTATAGAATTAGGGAAGATTGTATTGTATATAGAATTAGAAAAGATTGTGGTGGTGTAACTATTTGGCTGTATTTCCTTCTTCGTATTTTCCTTTTTCGATCATAGGTTTAGGATTATATAGACTGGTGACCTTCTTGTAAAGATACACAATTGAATATACAGAAAACTTATATAGTATCAGAGCCAAAATCCTAGAAACTGTTGCTCTCTCTCAGTTGTGAGTTGTGGGTGATCTTCTCCCCCAATCGCGATATTGAGACAGGTTCTTGACTGATCTCTCTTTGGTTCCCATCGCGACATCAGTTCAGTTGTTGCTTCAGTCCCTCAGTCGATGTCGTGCCTCGTCTTCGTTGATTCGAGTCGAGTCATCTGATCTTCCTGGTCGATTGACTTTGGTTCCTGATCATTAGAAGCTTCTCTCTCCGACAACACAATCGTGTTCGCCTGAACTCTCTCGTTTGAACCTTGGTTCATGCGATGCGATCGACGTGGTGCTGATTTGCCTCACTCGGACGATCTTTGCTCTGTCCTCTGTTTGCATTTCTGTCTCTGTCTCTCTGAGTTCGTGGCCTTGACTCTCACTATTGTTATTTGGGTCAAAACTCTTATTTACAGTCTGGCCCAATTGTTAGTCAATATTATATTTCCACCTGTGAATCTTTGATTTATTGTAATGACGAACACTAAAATCCAAGCAATCAGATGTAAACTCACTGGTGCCAATTATGCTTATTGGGCTAGTGTCATGAAGAATTTCCTTCTTGGTCAGAAAAAATGGGGCTATGTTTCTGGTTTTGCTCCAAGTCCATTGGACTCGAAACAAGAAGGATATCTGATTTCCTGTGACACTTGGGATTGTGATAATGTCCAAGTTCTGACTTGGTTTCATAATTCTGTGGATGACCGTATTAGAATGCTGTTTTCCAAATATAGTACTGCCAAGGAGGTGTGGGACTATTTATTGGGTGTGTATCATCAGTCCAACTTTGCCAAGCGGTATGAGTTGGAAACAGCTATTCAGAGTGCTCGTTAGCGGGATCAATCTATTTAGGATTTCTACATGGAGATGACAGGCCTCTGGGATCAGTTGGCTCTCATAGAACCATCTAGCCTCAAGGCACTAGACGTTTATGTTGAGTTTCGGGAGCAAGGTCGTTTAGTGCAGTTTTTAACGACTCTCTCCCCTCAGTATGAGGCTATTCGTGGTGGCATCCTTCATTGGTCTTCTCTCCCTTCTGTGGATACTATTGTTTGTGAGCTTCTCTCCGAAGAAACCCATCTTAAAACGGCTAGTTAGACTCTATCTCCATCTATCTTCTTAGCTCCTACTCAGCCTCTTCTGCTGTCAAACCCCCCACCTCATCAGCTTCAGGCCACTGTAAAGACCAAGAAGGGGCCCCTACCATCAGATGAGTGTGCTTTCTGCCATCAGAAGGGTCATTGGAAGTACAATTGTCCCAAGAAGGGACGTTCGTCTTCTCAGCAGTCTCAATTCCGAGCACCAACTCAGAGTTCTTTCCGGCCTCCCGCCGCTTATAATGTATCCACTCTGGCTCCAGGTCTTAATTTGGCTTCCTTGAGTTCTCAGCTTGCTCAGCTTCAGCAGATCTTGTCTACCTCTCAGTCATCTTCATCTGCCTCCGCTCTCACCTCTCTTCATTCAGGTTTGCTTGGGTCCTCTTCAGGTATTCCTTCCTCTGTCTGGCTTTTTGATTCTGGTGCCTCTCATAATATGACTCCTCACCTTTCCTTACTCCAAAACAATATCCCCCATTCCTTTCCTATTACTATTAATACTGCTAATGGGTCTAGTATGTCTGACCTATCTGTTGGGTCTGTTTTACTCTCTGCCATGTCCGTTGCTACTATTCCCTCTATTCTTTATGTTCCTCAACTGTCTGTTTGCTTGCTTTCTTGCTTTCTATCAGTCAGCTTGATGCTTTTGGTTTTAATATTATCTTTTTTCTTCTGTCTGTTGTGTGCAGGATCGGGTGTCCAAGAAGCAGATTGGGACTGGCCGTAGAGTTGGAGATCTCTATGTGGTGGAAAGTCTGCATCTTCCTCTGTCTACCTCCCCTATTGCACTTTCATCTTTTCAGTTAGATTCTCAGTCGAGTCAGTTTTATTTATGGCATTCTCGCTTAGGTCATTTGTCTGTTGACCGCTTGCAGTCTTTCGCTCAGTCAGAATTGCTAGGTAAAGTTTCTCCTAGTCAAATTAATGAGTGTCGAGGATGTAAACTTGCTAAAATGACAGCTTTACCTTTTAATAACAGTTCTTCTATTTCTGCTTCCTCTTTTTTCTTGTCCATACTGATGTCTGGGGACCTTCTCTTGTTCTCACTAAAAAGGGTTCTGCGTACTATGTGTCATTTGTTAATGATTGTACCTGCTATACCTGGGTTTATCTTATGGCTCATAAATCTGACTTCTACTAGATATATCGTACCTTTCAGTCTATGATCACTACACAGTTTGGGGCCACAATTAAAATACTCCGGTCTGACTAGGGTGAGGAATACTTTAAAACTGAATTTTGTGAGTATTTGGCCAAATTGGGCACCATTCACCAAACCTCCTGTACTGATACCCCTACCCAAAATGGTCGTGCTGAGCGTAAACACCGTCATCTCCTTGAGACAGCTCGATCTCTCATTCTCTCTGCCTTTGTTCCAGCACCCTTCTGGGGTGAGGCAGTTCTTACCGCTGCTTTTCTCCTTAATTGCATGCCAACTCCTCTACTCTCCGGTCAATCCCCTTACAAGGCTCTGTATTCCCAACCTCCCAATTATTCCCTTCTGCGTGTCTTTGGGTTTGCTTGTTTTGTCTTCCTTTCCCGTAAAGATCGGACGAAACTCAGTGCCCAATCTGTCTTATGTGTCTTTTTGGGCTACAGTCTTACTCAGAAAGACTACCGCTGTCACGACCCTATCTCTCGTCACCTCTATGTCTCCCGTCATGTTGCCTTTCTTAAACGTCTGTCTTCCTTTTAGCTTCCCTCTCTCATTGTTCCCGTTTCTAAAGAGGATTTGGTTCACATTGACCCATTTCCTTCTGAGGTCCTATCAGATGAGTATATTGCCACTGTTTCTCCTGAGGCCATTCCTATTTCTCCGTCTCCGTCACCTATGGCCCCTTCTTCCCCTTCGGCTGCTTTTTCCTCTCCGTTGTTGGTCTATTCTCGTCGCAAGGCTCCCCCACCACCAGTTGTCTCTACTCCTATTGCTGCTCCTTTTGCTTCTAACAACTCTGATCCTGCTGCACACTGCTATCCTCCTCGTGAGCTTCATCCTCCAAACAGGTTGGGTTGGTCTAATGCATGTTTTTCTGCTACCTATCTTCCTTTTTGTTCTGCTATTCACTCTTTTTCAGAACCTCAATCTTACAAGGAGGCCTGTCAGG